AGCCATTTCATTTTTTAAGCCATCCAAACCCCAGAACAGAGTGGAAAGGGGTCAAGGAGCAGTATGGCATCCCATAACGATTAGGGAAAAAGGATGCATGGGTGGGTGGGCAGGAACCAGGAGCACCTGGTACTCACAGTCTCAATGGCACAAAGCCACTGTTGTGCCTGTGATCTCAGGCAAGGGTGGAATGTTTGTCCACATGGGAGAAGCCACCAGCAGCAGAGCTCCTACACATGCCCAGGGCCTGCTCAGTGATGGCAGTCACTGTTAGGAAAAGAGGTAGTCCTAGCACGGGACAAAGCAAAAATATCCCCATAAACAGAGCTATAATTAAACCAGAAGCACACCCAGCCAGAGCTGGTCACTCAGCTTTCTCTATACTACATTTAGGCAAGTAAAGAACCATTCCAGGAAAAATATAAACATCCAGGCAGTTGTGACCCCATAAAAACTCAATTACGTAGGAGTTAACGTCAATATAAAACAGCTTTTTTCGTTTACTGTAAATCTCAGTGTTTAAAACTGGGTTCTCTTGCTGTAGATTAAGCAACCAAATTTGAGCTTTAGACTTTTTAAAGGAGGCAAAGGTTCTCTTCCTCCTGCTGTAAGCAATTTCATCTCCTACTCAAACAATCAGGCATCTACTCCAAAGTATCCTCCTGCCCAGTGCTTCCTGCACCTTTCTTTGGAGAAGCAACCTGAGCACATCTGCAGTTGAGCTGATGCAGGACAACACCTAACAGATTTAAATGCAGCACCATTTAAAATGTATCAATTTATGCACACACATCTGGAACCCGGATATATGCCTTGGCACCCTGGGGGTGAAATTTGGGCCTTTGTTTAGGCGTGACCCAGACTCAAGTCCATCATGAGGTTTATAAGGCATCATTTGCTAATGCACCTCTACAGCAACACTCCCAAAATCACAGGTTCTCTCAGATATTAGTGGGCTTCCCTCATGGCCTGGGTTTTTGGCTTGTTTGTCTTCTGAACTATGTAGGACTGGCACTAAGGCTGACTCCTGGTAGACACCATAATGCAGGGGTGTCCAGCCTTCCAAACCCGAGCCAGCTGTACACTAAAGTCTTTGCAGAGCCAAGAACCACAAGTCACACACTGCAGATCGGGAGAGCTGAACGGAGCCCAAGGAAACTTTACAGGCAGATGACGGCAAAGTTACTGTGAAATACCTCTGGGACTCTGGGCTGGATCTCTCACACAGCTCTCAGTGACCTTCTGCCACCAAACTGAGCCTCCCTCCATTTGAAATAATTACCATCTGAAGTTCTGAGCCAGCCCAACACTGGTCATGAAATAAAATCATGACTTGAACAGCTCACAGTCCACATGTGGTTCTGGCACTACAAGCTGATTCCCCTGGGCAATGACTTTCAGGTTTTTGTGATTTTTGACATTTTGTTTTTCACAATAATGACTTTATTCCTCAACTTTATTAGCATTCAGATCTACTGTACACAGTGCTTGTTTCCTCCACGTTCCTTCTGCGGCAATTTCCGGAACCACCTTTCATTGCACCCAATTCTGTCTGTGTTTGAAACTGGTTTCAGCCAGCCATGGTGAAACCACACCCCATATGACCATGGAATATGCACTGCATCAAGCCATCTTGCTGAAGCAGTGGTTTGTAATATGGTTGCTGGTTGATTGTTTGCTTGAAAATCCCTATCCACAAGAGACACTGAAACAGTGCTAAAAGGCAGGCTAGTTCCAGAAACGTTAGGATGTTTGTGCCGCAGACTTCTGGACAATGTAGTTCTGTTGACAGATGTGATCCCCGACCAAAGGAGAAATGCCAGCAGCAGCTTCCAGTGCAAGGACAGCACCTTTACCAGTCTCATGGACTGAAGGTGGAGTGGTATTGAGACACCTTTACCAATAAGCCTGTACTTTGTCCCATCAGATGAGTAATCCTCCTGAGATCCAGTAAAGACCTCTTAATGAAGGAACTGCCCTAAGGATCAACAAACTAATACTGAGTTCAATTTGGCTCCAGTCTCCCAAGGAATGTGGGAAGGCAGGAGAGGAAAGAGCTTGGGACTGACAAGTGTAATGAGTCAGTCTTTGGAAACCAAGCTACAGATCTGACTCTAGTTACCTCATTTACAGGCTGGTTCTAGAGTTGTGGCCAGAGAGCACTCATGGTTTCAAACCGGAGCAGACAAACTTGGGACTCTGCCACTGCTGAATGTCCCCAAGTCAACTTAACAGCTAAGCTCACTTCGTTATGCTCCCTCACAAATCCTTCCCCAAACACTGCCCTCTGGTTTCCAGTCCTCTCAGCCTCCCTCCTTGGGGAGAGTCCAGACCAAAGATCTCTTCCTCCTCAACCCCACTGACCATCCCTCTAGGTCTATCCTGCAAGAAGCAAGGCTCAAGAGAAGCCATTATGCTTCACAAGTCTGGAGCCCTCTCCCACCTGCACACAAACACAGCCACAGGACAGTCCTCCTTCCTAGCCAATATGAAGTCTTTTCAGACCCCACATGGAACTCTCCACTGATTCCTCTTCCATCTCTGCTACTCAACATGGCCTTCAGTTTGCTACCCAGTACTTCCAGCTTTCCACAGCCCATAGGTCAGGTCAGTCAGAGCTTTCTTCCATGCACTTCTGCATATGGACATTCCTGAGCTGGTCCACTCACCACCACTGGAACCTGTCACATGTGGAGAATGTGTTCCAGGGCAGGAAGCAGAGCTGCTTCACAGGGACAAAAGGTCATAACTGAGTGGTGAAGAGCTAAAGCTGAGAAGGAACATTTGAACAGCAAGAATCACCTAGCAAGCAGAAAACCCCAAAGCCCTTACTCACAGTTTGAGAAAGCAACCACACTGGATGTGAATTGCTTTGTTGGGGCTGCTGGGACAGCTACTGTCTTTGTACCTACCTTACTACAAGCGAGCCATGACTGACACACAGGCAGGGCAGAGGGACATTCATTAATGAAGTTACCCATTTGCTAAAGTAATCCATCACAACACTCAAGGAGGGAAGTCTTATGTAACAGTGCTTGGCCAATCCATGATAAACACAGAGGGAGGTTAAGGTGCAAGAGGTGTCCCTTTGCTTACAGCCAGCACAAGGTGATAAGGTACAAGGAATGGTCCTGAATTGCTTCATGAGATGTGGCACTGCAGCTGGGTCACAGTGCTTTGTAGTCAGCCAGTTCTTCTCCCATGCCACAAGCATTGGTTCCAGAAACTTCAGCTGCCTCGAGGTCCCCTTCACACACCTCCTCAAGCTCATAGAACATAACTCTACTAAGGGGATTCATTTTCTGACAGAGCCTTTTAATCCTCACCCCTTTTTAACCCATGGCAATGTTCTAGCCCACTAACAGAAACTAGACAGTCCAGCTCAGCCCCTCTGCACAGCTCCTGCCCGCCCCATCCCTGCTTTGCTCCTCCAGGCCTGCCCACATTCATGCTCTTCTGTATTCTGCAAATACACATCCCACCTCGAGGGGTGAAAGATAGATGATGTCCAAGAAATGACAACAAAGCAGGAAGCACTGTCACGATGTAACAGTAGACAACTCCTTGCAATAGTAAGCAGGACAAAGCCTAACACAACATGGTCTATATAAAAGGCAGTAACAGTCTCACTTTACAAAGGAAAACATGGATTGCTCCAGTCACGCAGTTTTTTAAAAAACTCACGGTACTGCATTAAGAGTTGTCTAACTTTTTCCCTGCCAAGGTAAAAAAGTAGGCACTGTTTCAAGTACGCTAAAATATTTGGCTGTCAACAGATTTTCATTTTAAAAAATCTTTTATTCCAATAGGAAAGAATTGCGTTTCATAGGAAGACTGATCTCAATCTCTCAATTGATATGTCCCATTATAACCTCCTGGGATCTGCTGTGTTTAGATGACTAAATTGAGATGACAGAGTCACATATCCCAAGCATCTTTGATCCTGAGAGACAGAACAGTGCCAGCTTACGTGACAGGAAATACCTCATTCCTTGGGTAGAGCCTGATCTTTCTGTGGGGGTTCTATGGGTCTACCAGCTGTCAACACAGATCCAGCAGCCAGCTGCACCTGAGCTCAGAGATCAAGGGAGGTCAGGGCTCCGATTTCAACCAGCATTAAGAGAAATCTATCCAGAGAGGCACCCAAGCGGGCATCCTACTCAGGGCATGAAGCTTAGACATGAGGCAGTATCCAGAGGCAGGAGAGGATCCCAGTGAGAGGGCAGACAGCCTTCAGCTTGTTGTTAGGCCCTTTTTTACAGCCTGGCAGAAACTGAGTGAAAATGTGTTTTAGCATAATCTGTGCATGGAGAGGTCTGATCCCCTCAAGACCCACGCACAGGAGGTGCCGCAAAGCAACAGCCAAACACCAACCACAGATGTGTCTGCACAAACGCTGCCAAAGGGGGAAAAAGAAAAGAACACAGAGAAACAAAGTGTTTATCCAGGAGTACGAACCAGTCTGTGAGGTCGGCTATAGAGGACCTTGCTGCACTGAACCCCGGCAACTTGTCAAGTTCGGCACAGAGCAGAGCCACCAGCCTGTTGGAGAGATGTCACTGCCCAGGCCTCAGAGCAGCCCTTGGATACCTGCTAAATCATTGCCTGGCTATGCCCTCCAGCAGTGCCAGGGGACTTGCAGTGGTAAGAGCCCTCCCCAGTCCAACGTGCTTCATCAAACTGGCCTTGGGAGATGAAGGCAGGAGACTGCAGCTTAAGGTGTCTGAGATCAAGCCAGTATTATGCCACAGGGAACTGTGCATGCTGTAACACTGCCTTAAGCCAACAGTTAATCAGTGGTATTTCTTTATTTTAAAATAGTTGATAATCTGGTACATAAATGTGGAAAATTAAATATTTCTCCTTTCCTCCACCCCCCTTCCCCACTTCTACCCCTCTTTTCCCATCCCACTGCCCTCCCGGTAAGGCAAATTACTGGATCACATCTCATGAACTGTTCCCAGGAAACACCCTCTCCTTCAGAGTACTGCAGACCCTACCTTGGTTGAGGTAGGTCAGAGTCTCCTCGTGCAGTTTCACGGCGGGGGAGGTGGCTGTGCAGAGGACGTACTGAAAGGGGGGCAGCTTGGCATCGTTCTCAGGAGACAGCTGCGGCTCCTCCTGCTTGAAGATGGGCAGCGCAAGCACATCTCTGCAACGCACAAGTTACACACAGTCAGGAGGAGTTTATGGGCTATCCTAGCCTCAATCTGCATCTGCTTCTCATGGTCTGAGATAACAGGATGGTCTCTGGAGAAACACCGGGTTAAAATGGCTAAAAGAGGAAGAGTTTGGCCTGTTTAATATAACCAGGCAACTTCTGCATCTAAGATATCAGCACTGCATGCAAAAGAACGTAGCGCTGGCAAAACAGAGTATGCCTGAGAATTAATGCAAGTTTTTAAGAAATAAATCAGATTCACTTTTCAGTTAAGCAGTCTTCTTGACAAGGAAAAACTATATCAAAATAGATCCTTCATCCTTGTGGACATACTTGATTAAGAGTTCTCAGGTTCTCAGACAAAAGCCTTTCAGAAATAAAAAAGGCAAGAAAGAGCACTTTGACAGGCAAAAGTCAGATCAGTAAAATGTCTTCAAGTAGCAGCCATGGGTGGGAAGCAGACACAACTCTGGTGTACAAAGGAGATATTCAGGTAAATGATGGTATGAACAGCTGGATTAATTTATTCATAATATATCCTTGCATTCTAGTAAACCTGGTCCCAAGGAATCACACAGCTCTTAAGTCAGCAGTGGGCTACCTTTGTAAATGCACACACAGGGGTGTGGGACAAGCTTCACTAGGACCTGCAACAGCCCCAGCTCCCACTCCTTTACAAAATGCTGATAGTGACCTGCCTGCCGCTTTAGTCCCAGGCTGATCCCAACCCACACTAATCCCCAAGCAGAACTGGTATTAGCAAGGCTGAGAGCTCAACAAATGATGAGTTGATTAGTACAAAATGAGATGTCAGGAATAAGCATCCTTATCTCAGCCTGTCTGATACTGAAGAACCACATTAGCCTTCCCATGCCACTAACACTGCTGATTACTGTGTCCACCTACTTAAAACATTAATACCCTTCCAAATTAGGAGGATTATACTGAACACGGTGACAATTCAGAACAAGTGATTTTTCTTCTCCTCTGTTTCTTCCAGATTCTCTTTGCACAGGCTGTAGCTCTGCTCCTTTTGACAACCCCATACACAAAATGCTCCAAGAAAAACCATCCAGCACATACAGGCACGCAACCTGAAAGGGCATTAAGAATTGTTTCCTTGCCTGTTCAGTTAATGATCCACTTATAGCACTCACAACCTTGAAGGCTACCCAGGTCATCAGTGAAACGGTGCAGCAGTTCAGAGTAAACTGCTCAAGTGCCTGATTCAAACACAGGTACTCCTGTTTAATAGAAAACAATGCCAGAGAGCAAATTGTGCCATTTCAGATGCAGACAGAAGAAAAGAAACACCCATCTCTGTTTCCAGTCTCTCTTCCAACCCCACGCCCCCAGTATTATCAGGGACTCGAAGGCATCCAGCCCCATTTGCTTCCTGGCATTACTGACATAATCACAGCTCTTGCCTAACTGCTGCCACAGAGAGGCTTTTTTTTTTCCTTAGTGATGATTTACTACAGCAATGAAGTGACAGAAATGCCTGCAGTAGATTTCTGAAATAGATAGCATTGCTCCACACACATGCAGGATCTGATACTGCTCCGGAGTCATCTCACCCAGCCCAGAGTCATCTCACCCAGCCTGGATGCCAACATTTGCTCCTGAGAATGCCAACATTTGCTCCTAACCCGCTCTGCACAATGCTCTCTGAATGCCTGTGGCTTTGCAGATGAGAACAGGTCAAAAACTCCAGCACAAAAACTCCTGCAGTCTGGCAGAAACAGTGCACAGAATCTGGCCTGGGTTTAACTGTTGGGGTGAGGAATTTGTACATACACTCACCTGAAACAGTTGAGAAATTTAGGCAAGGGGAAGTCAAAATTTAAATACCATATTTCACATCAGGTTCTCTGCACCCCTACACCTGCCAGCTGTCTGATCACTGAATTCTGCAAGCATGGAGGAATCCATGACTTGCTTTCTGGAAAGCTTCACCATATTTAAGCTCGAACAAAGCCACACAAGTTAATGACATTTTTACTCCTAGAGCATTTAAACTAATGGCCTGTGCTATAACTGCTTTGGGTCAAGACCTTCTTAAGAGTTCGACCTTATTGTAAGTGTTTGGAACTTAGAATGAGGTCAAAAGAATTTTTAACTTATAAGCATATAAGCCATCACAACATTTATTCAACTCTTCACTCAAGAGCTGCAAATCAAGTTTAGGGAAAATCAGGCTTTCACCACAGTTCCTATCCTTAAAAAGAAACATTGAACTCCTTAAAACTATCCCAATTTTCACCGTTATGCTACAGATTTACAGTTCTGGATTTAAATAACAATTAATTTGCATAACTAGAAGGAGAGAAAGTTAATTGAGAGTTCAGTCAGCTGACAGAACAGAGGGTAAAACATGTACTGCATTTTCATAAAAAAAGAATGAAAATTTATAAGAATTTTCTGTAGCATTATCTTGCTCCAGCTACAAATACCACTGAAATACAGCAGAACTTACACGAATGTCTCAAATACACAGAAAGCTCTCAATCTCTACAAAATATAACTTATACAAACTTTTCTTACGGCAACTTCAAATATTGTACTATTTCAGTTTCTTCTAGTCACTACAAGGCGGTATGGAAAGCCTTCAGAAGGGCATTGCTCAGCAGAAAAAATGCCCCTGTTAGAAATGCATGTCCTGACACATTCTCATGGAAAGTGAATTGGCCAGAATTAGCCACCTCTACATAAAAAACACATGAAACACCTGAGGGCATTGTTGCCATAAAAGTGGCTATAGGGATTTTGAAACGTACCACTTAACAGAGATAGGTAATCACTAAAGCTGAAGTTTGTTCCTAAAACACCAACAGGTCACCTCCATACCAACAGCGGTCCTGACAGAACAGATATCCTTTATCCCCCAGTTAGCACCAAGCCAGCAAAAATAAGCTAATATGTTTTCTGGCCCATTAAACGGAATTTAAATTGTGGAGTAAAGCCTGACCCAGACCTGATGATCTTCTAGCACTCCTGCTACAAATCCATGGAGTTACTGCAGCAGCCTGACCACCGTAAACACTCTCTAATGGAGAATATGCTGATGCTCCTCTGCTAGCACCATTTTCACTGTCCTAAACTAATCAGATTTGCAAGTGCAAAGCAAGAGAGAACAAGATTTTTGCCATAGACGTGTTGTGAAACTGAGTTATTGACATAGAGGGAGGAGATGAAGAATCTTGTACGAAGAAACAGAAAAGTTGCCAGAAGGCAAGAATCGCCCAATATCGTATAATTGGATAATAGGAAATTATTATTTAGTCCAAAATAAAATTCCTTTGCAAGTACACTGATAGGCAGCAGCAACAGTCAAGATAGCGTGTCTCCCTGAAACAGAAGCATTATCTGCATTCGAAGAGCTTCCCCAGACAAACTCAATGCTCTCTCAAGAGTGGTTATTTGGGGGTACATTGGAAAGTCAGGGTTCTTGGGCCACAGCCAGGCTCTCCACTGCCACAATTCAGCAAAATCCCACTCCAGCAATCGCCACCAGCTGACGGCTGAGCTTTACATCTTCAGAAGGCAAATAATTCACAAGCACCCAGCAAAAGGGGAACTCCCAAAGTTGCCTGCTTTGACATCGTTTAGAGGGAGGAAACACGGGTTTGTGCTACACATGTCACAGACTATTGTTTAGCAGCCCTTGTACTTAAATTAGGCACATTTAATTAAACGCAACTGTGCGGAGGCAGGAAAAAGCTGGTTTAGGCAAGTTCAGAAAGTGAAATTCTGCGCTTTTCACACATCGTCCTAAAACGCAGAGAAAGAAATCCCATCCCAAGAAAAGTGGGTGCCTTCTCAATTTGCCAGCAGGCGTTTTCTTCAGACCTCTGACAGCGCTCCGCCGCCGCCGCACCTCCTCCCTCGGAGCCGCGCTACCCCAGCCCGGAGAAGAGGGAACCCGGCACAAGCAAGAAAGCAACGCTGCAGAGAGCTGCCTACCCAGGCGCTAAAAAATAAAGAAGGGAAAAGAGAAAGCAAAAAAGGAAAACGGTCTCTCGGGCAGAGGGAGCGGAACGGTGGGGCACCGGGAGGGAAGGCGGCGGGCGGGCGGCCGCGGGACGGGGCACCCGACCGAACACGCACCCGGTGCCAGGGCTGCCGCCGCCCGGGACTCACCGCAGGTAGCTGCCGGTCGAGTGCTGGTTGTAATGCTCCGGCTGCGTGTGCCAAAACAGCATCTTGGGGGCGGCAGGCGGCGGTCCCTGCGCTGCGGAGCGGCAGCCGCGCTGCCCTGCCCGCCCCACGGGTGCCCAGCACGGCTGCCGCCAACTGGAGCCGCGGCCCCGCCGGCTCCCGGCGCTTTTATGGCCCAGCCCCGCCGGGCGCGGGTTGGCCGGGCCGGGGCGCCGCAGCCCGGCGAGCCCTCCCCCGGCCCGCCCCAGCGCCAGCCCCGGCCCCCGGCGGGCACGGGCCGCGCAGTCCCGGGGCGGAGCGCCGGCCCCGAGGGACGGGCCTGGCCCGGAGCGGGGTGTGAGGGTCCTGGGGGTCCGGGGCGGGACGGACACGGGAACCCCAGGGCGGTCCAGGGCGATGTCCGCTGTGCTGGGGCTGCCGCCTGGGCTGTGAGCTGTGATTTAAACCGGGCCACTCCATCCTACAGCAGTGTGAAAGTGCTGCTCAGGCTCCTCGGAGGTCCCTGTTTTCTTTAAATGAACGACAGCTGATGGCTTTAGGCCCGTGCTGTCTCTTACTCTGCCCTGTGCCTCAGGTTAATGCGACCTTTGTGTCAGGGGGTGTTTTCCAACTGAGAGAGCAAGAGGCAAAGTTTGCCAGAGGAGATGGATGAAGAAGAGAACAGTGTCAGAGACTAAACTCACCTCTAGCCCGTTGGAAACCCTCCTGTCCTTTCTACCTCAACTCCCCCACACAATACAGAGAAGTCTGTTTCTTTTCAATTTCAAATTTCAGATCCCGATCCTCACCGACAAAGCTGCCCATAGCTGTCATTTTCTTAAGCCTCTGCTCTCAGGGCCTCTTCATGTCCTACCAGTCCTTCTCTGGTCTGATAGTTTGGACAGGATGGAATAACAGGGGAGAGGGATTCCCTCTTTAGTCATTTCATACTGTCTGTCCACCAGCAGAAATGGGAACAGATCCTTAGTTACTCTGAGTCACTAAACTAAATCTTTCAGTCAGTTTTTCAGGAGAGGGCTTCCTATCCCTGAGGTTCCTGGTCGAATTTCAGCTGAGAAAAAGGCACTTCCCTCAGGGTACTTGTCAACACTGGCTGTCAGATTTCACCACTGGATGAGTTTTTTCAGACAGATGAATTTTCTATTCTCCTGCCATGATTATAGAATATTGCTATTGTCACAGCATTTATGGATCATAGTTAGGTCAAGCCCAATAGAGTCAGATGCAATATAATGATGGGGTTTTGTATCTTGGCATAAAGAACAAGGTAGCCTGAAAGGTAACTAAGCAGCTTTACAGAGATGTTATGAGTCTAAAAGTTTTTAGGATGCATTTTTTATATCTGCTTGTTAATTTCAGTGTAAGAAATTGCACAAATCAACATGCCTTTACAGTACCCTCGGTCACTACAGATTTAGACAAACACTGGCTCTAGCAAAGCAAAATGACTGGAGTTATCTTTTTTATACTCTCAAAAATATTTAGCTCTGCTCACACAACATCTGAGACCTTGATTAAGCAAAGACTATATATAGCTCTTGGACAGAGAAACAAGACAAAGTTTGCAGAGCTGTCCAAGGGCTTCTCTAAATAGTAAATATCCTTCCACAGTTTAAGTAGTTTGCTGCACCTACTGGGGAAATATGAAGTCCAATGTAAAAGTAACTTGCCACACTGTGTGAAACAAAGGACCCCATCAAGTCTGGTGTGATATATTTTCTTTACTATCCTTCTAGAAAGTACATATGTTGGAATGAAAATTACTTTAAAATTATTCCACTCATTTCCTCTGTAGCCTGTTGATGAATGTAGAAAATAAAGTCTACTAATTAATTTTACAGAGACTCTGGCAGCAGCTCTGTCTTCTAAATGTTCTCGTCCTTCCCATTCCTTTCTAAGCCAAATCTGATGAAGAAAAAGACTTCTTTGTTCTTTGTCTACCTCTCCTGAAAGAAATCTCAGCCATTTTCTGTTCTAACTGCTGCTCTTCCCCCTTTGTGGAAGTTTGTGCCACAACATCAAATACCTTCTCCTGGCCTTCAGAACCCACCACATCACATAGGCCAAATCATCCTCTGCCCCTCTATCTCTGGGGCTCCAGCATCTGCTCTTCCTCTTATCTTAACACAACCCCTCACTGAAGAAGTCTTGTCCACCACGGCTTTGTCACCCAAACTTCCCTGTACTCTCCTACTTCATCCCAGATTAAAGTAATTTCTTTGCTGTGCTGATTGCTTTTCATCTCTCGTTTTAGATGCTTGTTCAATTTGCCATGGTAAAACACTTTGATCATATGATTAAAAGAGATTGATTGAATATTTTGTTTGATGGATTTTTCTACTTGAGGTAATGCTGTGAAGGGTCCTTGGGATACTTTTTGTGTTGAAAAAAGGTATTTAAAAAAACAAGTGTCTTTTCCTGTAGATGTTTGTACCTGGAAACTCAAGTAGTGTGCCAGTGAGTTCAGTCCAAAAGCTCATTCTGCTGCTTCACTGTTCGTTGCAATCCCTTTAGCTAAGCACTGAGTGGGAATCATCTTTAATCTGCTTCACTGGAGAGGTGAGAAGTTTTGATCAGCTTTTCAACACCTGGAACCAAACTAGCAGAATTTGCAATGAAGTGACTGAGATATTCACATATTCAGTTCCTTTTCTGCTCTGGAACAACAATGTTCCCATTAGCTAAGGGTCTAAATTGACTTGAGCATTGTAACACTGTAGAGATGGCTACAGATCTGTAAAAGGATTGAAACACCTCACTTGCATGAAACTGAAAAGAAACAGAACATCTCCATACCTTTATGACTTCCATCACAAACATCTGAGTTGCTTCTGGGAAGTCTCAGGGGATGTTCTATATCAGTTTAGCAATTTTGTGTTCACAAAGCCCCAGATAAACTTAAAGGATCAAGGTTGAACATTATACTGTGCCCAAGAGCTCCCAAAACCAGCCAGTTATTCAGGGATTACTCCACCTCCCTCCTGATGCACAGACCATGGAATCTGGATGGACTGCAGCCATCTGAAATGAGCTGCAGAGACTTACTGAGATGGTCACCCAAGCACTGAATATGCTCTTATGAAAAATAGTCAGCATGTGCCTTTGTGCTGCCTCTCTGTGTACTTTAGCTCACAGGTTTCCAGGCTTTGGTTTGGGGATCCTTGGGGGAGTAATATTGAAGGAGGCTCTCCAAGATAACCAAGAAATATGACTGGGCTATGACTGACTAAATTTGCTCAACTTTCCCTGGAAAATACTGAAGGCACCAGAAAATAGAAAGGACTCCAAACTTGAGGTTTTAATCAACAGCAATATTATGAATGAAGAAAGGAACAGCTTTTACACAGCCCTTGTTGCTTTCAATTAGAAAAAAAACATTGCTTTGGCTTTGACAGGGTTTGGGACTGCTTCCAGTGGCAAGTACAGGCTTTCACAGGTACTGACCCTTAAGTTCTTCTCATCTATTCCATGCTGGTCTACTTTTCAGATGGAAACCAGCCCAGATGGGTTCCCATTGCCCTCTGCTGAGCAGAAGCTCTGAGCAGTGGCTACCACCAGGAGTATGAATGCAGTGATGGTATAACAGCCAAGAAGGAGGACACTGAACTGGAAAAACTGAGAATGAATGAGGTCTTGAAAGTGTGCATTATACTGACAGAAACACAGAGCTTATTTTGGTTTTACAGGAGGAAGATTAACAGGTGACTCAAACATAGTCTATAAATACTCCCATGGAAAATCAACATTTTACAAAATATGCTCCTGAACCTCAGAACAAAGATACAAGAGCCATAGAATAAACACTGCAAGTTAATAAAGCGAGGCTAAGAACATACTGCAGTGAATGTAATCCACCATGAGTGTAACTTTCCCAAACTTTGTGGTTAAAGCCACCTCCTGCCACCCCTATTTTCTAGATATAACTACAGACTAATTTTTTTCACATGTACACGCACACACACACACACAAAAAAAAAAAAAAAAAAGAAAAGAAAAGAAAAGAAAAGAAAAGAAAAGAAAAGAAAAAAAAAGTTGAACAGAAAGTAATTAATTTAGGTCCTATGGCCAGTTTGAGAGAGGAGAGCAAAGAAGCTCACCAGGACTCTTTCTGTCATTACAATCTCTGACGTCTCCTGCCAAAGGTTTCCAAAAGCCATCTTATTAAAGTCACCTCCCTGCTCTACCTCGTGAGTGTGGAGCAATGTGTTCCTTTCCCTGACAGTCAAACTGCCCCATGCTCATATGTTGTGATGTGCTGTCAACACAGTCATCCTGACACAATGAGAACCACATTAACTGAACTTAATAGCAAAACAAATATCAGGAAGAATACCACACAGACTGGCTTATTTTCTTATTCAAGTCATTCATTAAAACCCTCACCATTTTCTTACTTATCAGAGGTCACCATCAAATTTCCAGCTGCCACTAAATTTCCAGGCACAACATAGCACTGATGTATCCACGAGGTCTTTTTGCCACAGAAATTAAGCCTCATTTGTGAGCTCTCCCCAATGTCATATTAATCATTTTGACTGTCCTGATTTTATCACCAGAATCAAAATTTTCTTTCTTCCTGGTGAACATTTCTTTTAAAGTCATTTTGTCGTGGAAACAAAAAAAATATTTACACAATGAGGAAGACGGATGATTGGATGACAAAATAAGTGCTTTTTAAGTGCTCATTATACATCTATTGGCATCGGCTGTCTCATTGTGAGCTACAGGCTGCAATCGTGGGGACACACAGTAGCCGTGTTTACATTGCTGCAAGAGGGACCTCTGGAGCCAGCAGCACAAGTAGGAAAGCAGCACATGACTTTAAAAAAAAAATTAAAAAATCAACAACAGCAGAAAAAAAAATCATGTACTTTTTGGCCAGCAGCAGACACTGACTCTGCAAACAGCTGTGCCCAGAACTTGGCTGGGTTTTAGTTCTGGTCCCTCTGGCTGAGGTCACCGTCTGTGCTGCCCTCCTGTCCTGGCTGGAGCAGCGTGAATGCATCACACCTCACACACCAGGGTGGCAGAGAGGGGGGGGACT